AAAGAAATATCAATCCTACATGACTCACTAGACCAGATGGAATTAATTGACATCTTCAGAACATTCCACCCCAAAGCCACAGAATATACATTCTTCTCAAATGCACATGGGACATTCTCAAAGATAGACCACATTTTGGGACATAGGCAAAGTCTCTTCAAATTCAAGAAGATAGAAATCATATCAAGCATCTTCTCAGACCATAATGGCATAAAACTGGAAATTAACTACAATAAAAATAATCCAAAGAAATCAAACACATGGAGACTAAACAGCATGCTATTAAACAAGGACTGGGTTACCAGAGAAATCAAGGAAGAAATTAAAAACATCCTGGAAACAAATGACAATGAAAACACAACAATCCAAAATCTATGGGACACAGCAAAAGCAGTTTTGAGAGGGAAGTTCATATCCTTACAAGCCTATTGCAAAAAAAACTAGAAAAAAGTGTAACAAACGATCTAACTCTACAACTCAAAGAGTTAGAAAAAGAGCAACAAGAAAAGCCCAGTGTAAGTAGAAGGAAGGAAATAACAAAAATCAGAGCACAGATAAACGACATAGAGACCAAAGAAACAATACATAAGATCAACAAAACCAAGAGCTGGTTCTTTGAAAGGATAAACAAGATAGATGGACCTCTAGCCAGACTAACCAAGAAACACAGAGAGAGGACCCAAATAAACAAAATCAGAAATGAAAGAGGTGAAATAACAACAGACCCCACCGAAATACAACGGATTGTTACAAAATACTATGAACAACTCTACTCCAACAAACTGAACAACCTGGAGGAAATGGACATATTCCTAGAAAAATATAATCTTCCAAAACTCAATCAGGAAGAATCTAAAAATCTCAATAAACCAGTGACTTGGGAAGAAATTGAAACAGTCATCAAAAAGCTTCCAGCAAACAAAAGCCCAGGGCCAGATGGCTTCACAGGAGAGTTTTACCAAGCATTCAAGGAAGAACTAAAAACTATCCTCCTCAGACTATTCCAAAAAATCCAAGAGGAAGGAACACTTCCAAATTCCTTCTATGAAGCCAGCATCACCCTAATACCAAAACCAGATAAAGACAACTCAATGAAAGAGAATTACAGGCCAATATCCCTCATGAACATAGATGCCAAAATCCTCAACAAAATTCTAGCAAATCGACTCCAGAAGAACATCACAAAGATCATACACCACGACCAAGTAGGATTTATTCCAGGAATGCAAGGATGGTACAATATCCGCAAATCAATAAATGTGATACATCACATAAACAAATTGAAAGATAAAAATCATATAGTTATATCAATTGATGCAGAAAAAGCATTCGATAAAATCCAACACCCTTTTCTGATAAAAACTCTTAACAAGGTGGGAGTACAAGGATCATACCTCAACATAATAAAAGCTATATATGATAAACCCACAGCCAACATTATACTCAATGGGCAAAAACTAAAATCATTCCCTCTAAGAACAGGAACAAGACAGGGATGCCCACTCTCGCCACTCCTGTTTGACATAGTACTGGAAGTACTAGCCATTGCAATTAGACAAGCGGAGGAAATAAAAGGCATCCAAATTGGAAAAGAAGAAGTAAAGTTATCCTTATTTGCAGATGACATGATATTGTACATAAAAACCCAAAAGACTCCATTAAAAAACTAATTGACTTAATAAATGAATTTGGCAATGTAGCAGGATACAAAATTAATGCCAAGAAATCCATGGCTTTTCTATACACCAACAGAGAAACTGCAGAAACAGAGACTAAAAAAGCAATTCCATTTACCATCGCACCAAAAAAATTAAGATACCTAGGAATAAATTTAACTAAGGAAGTAAAGGACCTATATGCGGAAAACTACACGACACTGAAAAGAGATAGAGGAAGATGTAAGGAGATAGAAGAACATACCATGTTCATGGATTGGTAGGATCAACATCATCAAAATGTCCATACTTCCTAAAGCAATCTATAGGTTCAATGCACTCCCCATTAAAATACCAATGACATATTTCACCGACCTAGAAAGAACTCTCCAAAAGTTCATTTGGAACAATAAAAGACCCCGAATAGCCACAGCAATCCTGAGAAAGAAGAGTAAAGTAGGAGGGATCTCAATACCAGACTTCAAACTATATTACAAAGCCACTGTTCTCAAAACAGCCTGGTACTGGCACAAGAACAGACATATAGATCAATGGAATCAAATCGAGAACCCAGATATCAACCCAAATCACTATGCTCAATTAATATTTGACAAAGGAGGCACGAATATACAATGGAGTCAAGACAGTTTCTTCAATAAATGGTGTTGGGAAAATTGGACAGACACATGCAAAAGAATGAAACTAGATCACCAACTTACACCATTCACAAAAATAAACTCAAAATGGATACAGGACTTAAACATCAGAAGGGAAACCATAAAAATACTAGAAGCATCCACAGGCAGCAAAATCTCAGATGTATGCCAAAAGAACTTCTTCACTGATACTACCCCTAGGGCAATGGAAGCTAAAGAGAAAATAAACAAATGGGACTACATCAAAATAAAAAGCTTTTTTACAGCAAAAGAAACCATCAACAAAACAACAAGAAAGCCCACAGTGTGGGAGAACATATTTGCAAATGATACCACTGATAAAGGTTTAATCTCCAACATCTACAAACAGCTTATACAACTAAATAAAAGGAAGATAAATAATCCAATTAAAAAATGGGCAATGTACCTAAATAGAACATTTTCAAAAGAAGACAGAAGGAAGGCCAAAAGGCACATGAAAACATGCTCAAAGTCACTAATTGTCCGAGAGATGCAAATCAAAACAACAATGCGGTACCATTTCACACCTGTCAGAATGGCCAACATCAACAAATCAACAAACAACAAGTGTTGGCGAGGTTGCGGAGAAAAAGGAACCCTCTTGCACTGCTGGTGGGAATGCAGACTGGTGCAACCACTGTGGAGAACAGTGTGGAGTTTCCTCAAAAAACTGAAAATGGAACTCCCATTTGACCCAGTAATCCCACTTCTAGGAATATATCCCAAGAAACTAGAAACAGCAATCAGAAAGGATATATGCACCCCTATGTTCATAGCAGCACAATCTACAATAGCCAGAATTTGGAAACAGCCTAAGTGTCCGTCAGCAGATGATTGGATCCAAAAACTATGGTACATCTACACAATGGAATACTATGCTGCCATAAAAAAGAAGGAATTCTCATCATTTGCAGCAACCTGGATGGAATTGGAGAACATCATGCTGAGTGAAATAAGCCAATCAATGAAAGAGAAACACCACATGACCTCACTCATTTGTGGATAATAAAGAGCATTATAAACTGATGAACCAAAAGATAGATATAGAGACCGTATTTCAACAAGTAGACTGTCAAATTACAGCTGGGAGGGGAGGAAGATCTGGGGGAGATAATAGATCAACTGAAGGACTTTTATATATGCATATAAGTACAACCAATGGACACAAAACTCTGGGGAGGGAGGGGATGTGTGGGAGGGAGGGGGGCAAAAAAAAATCAATAAAATATATTTTAAAAAAATTTAAATAACAAGTTAAAAAAAAAAAAAGAAACAGAATTCTCAAGAATCCAAGAGGAAGTCATGGGATATGGAAAAAGTGGTGAGCAAAGAAACCTGTAACCCATTGTTAAATGTAACTGACTTTTAACACACACACACACACACACACACACACACGCACACACACACGCAAGCACACACACGTACATGCATGCACGCACACACACGCACACACACAGACATGCACGCGCACACACACATTTATTTATAATCCTCATACGAGGATATGTTTTTATTGATTTTAGAGAGACAGGAAGGGAGGGGGAGAGACAGAGACAGAGACAGAGACAGAGACAGAGATATCAATAGATTGCCTCCTCTATGTGACCTAACAGGGAATCAAACCTGCAACCTTTTGGTGTGTGGGGTGATGCTCCAACAAACCGTGCCACCTGGCCAGGACACTGTAAATGACTTTAGATTGTAGAAATAGTCAGATGACTTCAGAATGAAAATAACAGAAGATCTCAGCACACATTGGTTGTATGTGTGGATGAAGGAGTGTGCATGCTTATGCTTGAATAAATCCCTTCTCTGCACACTTGGACTTTTATTAAGCTCAGGTGGGAAGTATGCAAGGGGAAGTCAACAGTGTAGCACCGTACAAATAATGGATTTTCACCATCAATCAGTAAATTAGAAATGTGTGGGCTGCAGGTTTGACTTTCCCCTTTGAATGAGAGGAAGTCATGGTAGCTTAGAGGAAGAAGTGGGATTTCAGGATCAGCTGGGAAGGGGAGGCATTAACCCGTGAGTGACCTGGGGGCTCTGGAACACTCCAAAGATCTTTTCTCCTCCTCCCTCTCCTGCTACTTATCTCCATTCAGGGTACAGGAGACCTTAAGTGATAGAGACCTTGAGTTTCTCTAGTGGTTTTTTAAAAATTTTTATTTTTATTATGATTATTATTTTTTTAAAAATATATTTTATTGATTTTTTACAGAGAGGAAGAGAGAGGGATAGAGAGTTAGAAATATTGATGAGAGAGAATCATCGATCAGCTGCCTCTGTACACCCCCTACTGGGGATGCGCCTGCAACCAAGGTACATGCCCTTGATCGGAATCGAACCTGGGACCCTTTAGTCCGCAGGCCGACGCTCTATCCACTGAGCCAAACCGGTTTCGGCAATGATTATTATTTTTTATATGTGTCCTTATTCCCTTATTACCCCCTTCCCCAATTCATGCCCCCCCCCCCCCCCCCCCCGGTTATCTGTGTCCATTGATTAGGCTTATTGCATGTACACAAGTTGCTTGGTTGATTTCTCCCCCTTTCTCCCACCTACCCTAGTGTTTTTTATAGAATGGGGAAAAATAGAGGCCCAAGGAGATTAACTTGCCCAAACTGGTAGGTCAGGAATTCCACCCTGGAAGGTGCCGCCATACCTAGAAACTGATCGTTCTCACTCTCACTTGTGCACTTGAGCTGGGGCTGTGTCCACCTTATCTTCCCACAGATCTTTTTGCAGGTACTCGTGGCAGGACCTTTCTGGATGGCCCTGAATCCCTGGGCGCACTCATAGTGAACTGTCTGGCCCTCCACAAAGTGATAAATTCTCTCTGAAGCTTCATGTTCCCATGGAGGAGGCTCTGTGCAATGACCTGGAAGAGGGAAAGAAAATTCCAAAGGCAAGTTGGGGAGAGCACTGTGAGTCCAAGTCTCCCCTTCCTAGAGACCAGCCCTTGGTTCTTATTTTTGTTTGTTTGTTTGTTTGTTTGTTTGTTCATTTCTTTTTCTTTCATTTAACCAATATGTATTGAGAATATCTATGTGTCAGGACTTTGCTAAGCACTTTGTGGGAAGGCACAGAGACTCAGTCACTCCTGCAGGAGGGGTCAGTCAATTGGGTAAGGAAGACATGTGAAGGCAGAATGTGCTGAGCATTATAGTTAAGGAACAGACCCTTGCTATGGGAACACAGAGGCATGAGTAATTACTTGTGACGATAGTGAGTTTTGGTAAGTGCACAGGACTGGGAAGGATGGTCTCAACTGAGCAGGTTTAACCCAATTTGGGTCACTGAAAAGTGAAGACAAACCACCCCTTATCTCCACTGTTGATTGAGGAAGCTACAGCCCCAGGTTGTAGCTGATGGTCACCTTGGGACCATGGTAGAAGGACTGGGGACAAAGCCAAAGCCTGAGAAGAGAGTGGCTGAGAGAATCTCAGAGAATTGGAGCCTGATCTCTGATCAAGCCATACCTGAAGCTTGCCCTGAGTTAGCCCAATGAATGCCTCTGGAAATGCCCTGTGTTCAGTAACTCTCCACTCCCAAACTAAAACCCAAGCCTGACTGACCTTTAACCTTAAAGACTGTGTCCTGTTATGATATAATCTCAATGTCCATCCCCAATCTGGACATATGGAACTACATGTACCCTCTATCCTTCAGACATGGGAAGCTACACATATTCTCTGACCTTCCAGGCCTTTCATAGCCTGAAAACCCAATATAAGCTCTACCAATACTCTGTATAACCCCTCTGCCCCACTCGGAAGCTTAGTGGTTCTGTCCTGAGCAGTCTGCTCTAACACCTGGCAAAACATGATTGAACTCATGTTTTAGTCTCAAAAAATTTCTTTTACAGTTGGTGATATTCATAACTGTTTTTAATTGGGTTTGCTTCTTTTAAAAGAAAACATACTAATTAAGACAATCTGTAAAATAGCCCTTAGCCAAAACCAGCTGGTTATCTCTTGAGTAAGGACAACAAAATTGACATTTTGAGGAACCTTTCAATAATTGTGGAGGGTATTATGGGAGAAGTAGAGACAAAAAAAACAATAACTAAACTTGCTTTGAAATACCATTCCAGTACCAAGTTGGATGTGTGTGTGTGTATGTGTGTGAGTGTGTGTGTGTGTGTGTGTGTGTGTATGTGTGTGTGTAAATGGATAAAAACCTCACATTGCAACAATGTCCCTGTATGATGATGATGATGATGATTCTTCTTCTTCTTCTTCTTCTTCTTCTTCTTCTTCTTCTTCTTCTTTTTAAATAATAGAAGATGCAAATAAATGCCGACAAGTGTAAAATAAGTAATCAGTAGGAAGATTTCTAGTCTAATTCAGGAGACCCAAGGTCTTATTCTTAAATTATGTGAGTATAGCCAAGTCTTTTATCTTCTCAATGTCTCAATTTCTTCAGTAAATTGAAGTAATACTCCTCCTCCTTCACTCAACGGGTTGTGAAGTTCAAGTGGGATTTTATATAATATGTTCAAGTTCTTTGTAATACCGTGTTTCCCCCAAAATAAGACATCCTCTGAAAATAAGACCTACTTACAGGTTTCCTTCTGAGTAAAATATAAGGTATCCCCCCGAAAATAAGCTCCCCTCCGCAGGCTAAACATGAGAGATTTGGTCCACTGATTCTGAAAGAAATGGAGTCACAAGAAATTCACCAGGAAATTCAGGAATTGGATTGTTATGATGATGTTCCAGAAGATGATGACATGATTGTCATTGAATAAATGAGTAAATTCTTGATACTGTAGGATTCACAGTTTGTCTGGTTTGTGTTGACAACTACCGTACTACCGTACCGTATACAGGTAATAAATTTCCTTTATTTTCATTTAACAATAAATGTGTACCGTATTCTTCTTCATGGAAAAACAAGACATACCCTGAAAATAAGACCTAATGCATGTTTGGGAGCAAAAATTAATATAAGACACTGTCTTATTTTCGGGGAAACGGGGTATTATACAATCAGCATGGGACCATAGGTCAAAAGCTCAGGCTTTCCTAATAGGTTTTATTTCCTCCTGATATTGTGACTTGACTTTAATTAATATGATTCATCTCAGAAAGTTGCAGCAATAACTGGGTAGTTATAGTGCTCACTAACCCCTTCCCCCCACACCCAACTTTGTACTGGAATGGTATTTTTTTTTTTAATATATTTTATGGAATGGTATTTCAAAGCAAGTTTAGTTATTGTTTTTTTTCTCTACTTCTCCCATAATACCCTCCACAATTATTGAAAGGTTCCTCAAAATGTCAATTTTGTTGTTCTTATTCAAGAGATAACCAGTTGGTTTTGGCTAAGGGCTATTTCACAGATTGTCTTAATTAGTATGTTTTCTTTTAAAAGAAGCAAACCCAGTTAAAAATAGGCTCAGACAGTTATGAATATCACCAACTGTAAAAGAATTTTTTTGAGACTAAAACATAAGTTCACTCCTGATTTGCCAGGTGTTAGAGCAGACTGCTCAGGACAGAACCACTAAGCTTCCAAGTGGGGCAGAGGGTATTTGTCTTCAGCTTCAAGACTCACCAGTATGGCCCAGTACATTACACACACACACACACACACACACACACACACACCTCCTAAGAAGCATCTGGAAATAAATTGCTTTGCTGGCAATTTATTATCTTCTACTTAGGGGGAAAAAAAAAAACCAAAGTATTTTCTTTAGAGAAGGAGCTATTGTCTGCTCATGTTTATATCTCTGTTGGCAGTGCATGGCACCATTAGACCCAACACATGCTTTTTGAATTGAATTGAATTGAATTTTATTCAGCCAGCTCTCAAACCAGGAAGAACCCCCAAGGCCAGGGTGACTTCTATGAGAGTGACTTGAAATGCTGAGCCTAGAGCCTGCAAATGCTATTGTTGACATGATATCCTTAGGGGAGAGGATAATGGGACAGACTTTCTTCCTTTGGGGACCACATCATATAGCTGCAAGAGAAGGGCTGGCTCCTAGTACTCAGATAAGTGTTGTTCAGATTCCCCTTTTACCTTGAAGGTTAACTTGGTCTGTGGGCCGTGTTTGGCTTTGCATTTCTGTGTTTTTTCTTTCCTTCGGTTCTTTAGGTTTAGGAGTAGCTTGTTTTTGTTTCTTCCTGTGGGCTAGAGAATATGAATGGAAAGAAGCAAACAACCTCACAAATGTTTATAATAGTAAACATTCTTCGTGTATTCACTTACTCAGAAAGTGTCTTTCTAGTGCTTGCAGTGCACCTGGAAATATCAAAGTGCTGCCCTTACAAAGATGTGCCACACATGAGCCCTGCCCTTGGGGTGCTCTTAATGGGCCCTGCTACGTCAAGCCCAGGACAGCAGGCCTGTCAGTATTCATGTGTGTAATGACAATGGCCTTCAGCATAGCCATGACAACATTTGCCATATCAGTCATTTTAAGAGTACGGTTCGGTGGCATTCGGTATATTCACATTGTTGTGAACTAGAATTATTTTTTAATTGTTCAGTAATCACTAGTGGAATGTCTGTTTTCTTCCTGACCCTGAAATATAAGTTTCTTGAGTGCTGAGTGTCCTGCATGCCTAGACCAGTACTTGGACCTAGAAGACACTCCTTAAATATTTGTTTAGTGTAGGGGTGTCGAACTCAATCAGAGAAGGGGCCAAAATCTAAAATCCAGCCTAAATCGCGGGCCGAATGGTTTACTGAACAGTCATAAACTGTCATTGTGATAGAAACGCAGCGGAGTGCAGTGATGACAGCGCGGTGAGGGCCACATTGCAAGGCCTGGTGGGACGGATTTGGCCCACAGGCCTTGTGTTTGACACATGTGGTTTAGTGGATGAATATTCCAGAAACCAGTAAAATTAATTCCCATCTAGTTCAGACTGGACAATTTTTGTCGGTAGGACCGAGTGAGCAAAAGCTGAAGCTCTGCCTCGCCAGCTCTTCTCTTCCCCTTGGCAGTTACAAAAGGAAACACTTACAATTCATGTTGCACTGACATTGGTTTTTCCAGGCAGAGGGGTCAGCATTTCCTGTACAATTCATAAAGAGCGACCCTCTGCTTCTGCGGAAACCATTCTTGCAGTCACAGTTTAACAGGGTGCCGATTTCATAGGTGATGGCTTTGAATGTGGCATGTGTGAGATTTGGTGGGCTGAGAATACAAAACTCTGTGAAGGAAAAGAAGCATATTACCAGTTCAGGAGGGTCCAAATCAAAAATTCACATATTTAATCATGCAGTGATTTAATCACACATATCTGCATTTTATTTAAAGGATTTATATATACCCCACTTTTTCCTAGAAAGAAACTAAGTCTGTTGTCTTTGTTCTTTAGAAACTTTTGTATGAGAAACAGTTCAAAATTTAATTTAAACCAAATTAAAATATAAACTACAATATATTTTAAAGTGAATGAATGAGAACTGTGGTACATCTACACAATGGAATACTATGCTGTCATAAAAAGAAGGAATTCTTATCATTGGCAATAACCTGGATGGAATTGGAGAACATTATGCTAAGTGAAATAAGCCAGTCAATAAAAGAAAAACACCACATGATCTCACTCATTTATGAATAATAAAGAACATTATAAACTGATGAACAAAAAGATAGATATAGAGACAATAAAGCAACAAACAGACTGTCAAATTACAGGTTAGGGAGAGGTTGAAGAGATAAGAGATCAACTGAAGGACTTGTATGCATACATATAAGCATAATAAATGGACACAAAACTCTGGGGAGTGAGGGCATGTATGGGAGTGAGGGGGGCAATGGTAAGATATGTACACATATAATACCCTAATAAAAAATAAAAAAATAAAGTAAATGAATGATGTTTTATTCTGAATATGCCTGATGCTGAGCAAGTAGAGAGAGGAAGACCAAGGGATATGAGGAAAAGAAGAGAGGAAAGCCATGTAAATTTAGTTAAAATACAAAATGTATGTGTGAGAAAAGAACTTTTCAAGATTGTCTGACTTTCTGTAATTAATGATTCTGCATCACTAAAAATATAGAAATTTAAAATGCTTCCCTCAATGGCTGGCTAGTAGGAGGTGTGAATTTCTCATTCATCTACCCATCTGTTAGTTTTCCAAATTCCTTTTCATACTGCAAAGACCTGCCCCTCAGTCTGCTCAAAAAATGGACCTTGATTTCCCACTAAAGACCCTTGATGTAGTGACCAAACGCTCAACTATAAAGGGGGAAAGGCATTGGTCTAATTAGAAAGATGTACCAGTTCCCCTTTTAAGAAACTAGATTTTTAGGAAGAAGCCACACATTGGATAAAAGAGTGGATAAGAAGGATCACAGGAAAGAGGACTCTATCACAGCCAGCTAATCTGGGCTGGTTGCTGCACTAGTTGCTGGTAGAGGATGATCTGCCAATTGCTTATTAATATCTCAGATTGTAGTGAAGGTTCCCTGTGCCCGCACATTCTGCTCACCAGCGTCTTGTCATTTTAGATATCACTCCCATCTAAGACTTAGGATACTATTACCTTCAAGAACAGAAGGTGAGAAGAATGTGGAGAGCTTGCCCCAACGCTAAGCAAGAAAGGACTAAACAAAAGCAATCTCTTTGGCTCAGTGGGCCAACAGTTATAGAGGAACATGTATCATAAGCACTCAATACATCCTGCTAATCATAATAACAATCATAATAAGGCAAGAAAGGGGAGAAAGGTGATTTTCTTAATTCTAGCTCTGCCAGTTAACTAGTTATATAACTTTATTATTTTTACCTACCTAAGATGTGGCTTCCTTTTCCATAAAGTGGGTGTTATCATAATTATTTTACTAATTTGTTTGTTTGGAGACTGCGCCATCTTGAATGGGAGCGAGGATGTTGTTTGAAGCCTGAAAATCCTGGGAATTTACAACAACGGCACCCACTGAACAGCTGCGAGCCCAGGAGCATGGGTTCCCAAGTGGCACGAGCACACTGATTTGGAGGAGCTCTCGCCCTCTCACAAAGGTCAGATTTCGCCTGGGATAAAGTAAGGTCTGTGGTCCGGGCAGGTGAGAGAAAAGTGCACTGGGGGAGCTGGAGGATCTGGGGAAATCTCCACCTAGAAAAGTCCACGCCCATTGGGCTTGTGTGATCCATCAATGTGGAAAGGGATCCTCGGGGCTGCTAACAGAAGGGAAATCTAAGAAACAACCCATAGCTGAACTGGGCGCAAAAGGGCAGCCTAAAATGTCTAAGAATGTGCCGACTGCTTAGACCCAAGGGGAAAAAAGACTGCACAGACTGCGTGCAGTCCCGGAGTTCGCACACTTACTCTGGCTCTTTTCTCTCTCTGTCTCTCTCTTTTTTTCTTCTTTAAATCCTTGCTTTTGATTACTAAGCCTAATACATAGGATCGCCCAATTGGGTAAGAGACTGCAGGGGAAACTTGTTTTTGTGGAACCTGGATATCAAAGTGGGGAATAACGATCAGAGAACCACCTCTAGAGCAGCCCCCCCACCCCCCCGCCCCATTAAGAGCCACAGGGAAAACAAAATCTAAACACAAGCAAGGGAGGACCTATAGAACCGAGCTCAATCCAGAAACACTGCCACCCAGGGGCTGAATCACAAATTGACTCTTGTGTAAACACAAATAAAGGAGTATAAGAAACAAAGTACTTACTGCCTGCTTGAAAATCAGAACTGTGGCCTACAACACTGAGGAGCAGTGGAATTCAGGGATCTTCAATACTGACCTGACTAGGAAACAGGTGTTCCAAACAGAACAGTATGACCTTCACTACTGCACTTTTCTTTTTCACCTTTTACTTAAAAAACTAATTTTTTCTTTTTGCCTCACTTGATTTTATCTTTTTAATTATTACATTTTTATTTTTAATCAGTATTATTACTACTAGTATTTTACCTTTTTAAATGTCATTTTCTCTTTATTTTATTTTGGAATCAAGATTCTACATTCTTTTCTCTTTTTTAAAAATATATTTTATTGATTTTTTTACAGGGGGAAGAGAGAGGGATAGAGAGTTAGAAACATCGATGAGAGAGAATCATCAATCAGCTGCCTCTTGCACACCCCCTACTGAGGATGTGCCTGCAACCAAGGTACATGCCCTTGACCGGAATAAAACCTGGGACTTTTCAGTCTGCAGGCCAACGCTCTATCCACTGAGCCAAACCGGTTACGGCAAAGTTCTACATTCTATTTTCATCTTTCCTTTAGCATTTTTTTTAGTCTACCTCAACTTTACCTTTATACCAACACTCTTTTCCTCACTTTTCCCCTTTTGTTGTCCTGTTTCTCTTTCTTTATTTCTGCTTTAGATTTTCCCTATTCCTTTTTTTTTTACCCCTTGTTAAAATTTCACCCTACTTATATATCTAATTTCCAATCCCCTGCTCTAAGTACATACACATCTCTCTCTTCTCTGTTTCAGCTATTCAAGAAATTGTTTTTTCTCTTTGTCCTTTTGTTGTTGTTTGCCTGGTTGTTGATTTCATTGTTTTTTTTTATGCTTGTTTGTGAGATTGTTTCACTTTTTCTTTTTCTTTTGTTTTGTTTTTGTTTGCTTTTTGCTTCTGTTTCCCTCACTTCACTTGATATTAGTTGTTTATAGTTTGCATTCATCTCTAGGTATTTGTTGCTGGCATTTGTTGGGATTAGTGGCTGTTCTATTGGAGTTTTCTCCCCATATAAATAGTTTTTCCCCCTATTCTTTTTTATTCCTTTCTTTTCTCTCTTACTTTTTTTTCTTTTCCCAATTTCTTTTGTGCACTTCTCTCTCTTCTCTTTTCTTCTTGTCTCTTCTCTTCTTCTTTATTTCTTATCCCCTAAATCTCTTTTCTCTTATGATCCCCTTTATTAAATTTGTGTTCAGTTCCTTGTGTGTTGTGCCTTGTGTTGTATTTTGTGCCTTTAAATCAATGCAGGAGAGAGAACTACATAACCGGACAGCCGAACAAGAGAGATCACAGGGAGACAAAGAAACAGCTCACATATGAAAGAAAAGCAGGCATCACCAGAAAAGGAAGTAAACAAAATGGAGGCAAGCAACCTGTCAGAGAAAGAATTCAGAGAAATGGTCATAAGGTGGATGAAAATAATAAAAGACAAATTCAACAATATGTGTAAGAACCAAGAAGAAATGAAAAATGACATCACTGCTATAAAGAACTCAACAGAAAGCATCAACAGTAGACTAGAAGAAGCAGAGCACAGCATCAGTGAGCTAGAAGATATGGTAAGAAAAAAATACCCAAGCAGGGTATTAAATTAAAAAGCAGGAGGAGAGCCTAAGAGAACTTTGAGACAACACAAAATGAAACAACATCCACATAATAGAGGTGCCAAAAGGAAAGGAAACTGAGCAAGGAATAAAAAACCTGTTTAAAGAAATAATTACAGAAAACTTCTCTGATATAGGGAAGAAAAAACTCATACAAATCCAAGAAGCTCTCAGAATCCCAAACAAAATGACCAATGCCAAGGCACATTAAAATTAAATTGGCAAACACCAATGACAAAGTAAAAATCTTAAAAGTGGCCAGAAAGAGATGGAAAGATACCTACAAAGGATCTCCCATCAGACTAGCAACTGATTTCTCAACAAAAACACATCAGGCCAGAAGGGACTGGAATGAAATATTCAAACTCATGCCAAGGAAGGATCTGAATCCAAAAATACTGTACCCAGCAAGGCTATCAATCAAAATTGAGGATGAAAAGGACTAAAGGAGTTTATTACCACCAAACCAGCAATGAAATAAATGCTAAAGAGTTTGCTGTAAAAAGAAGAAATAGGAAGGAAAGGAGGAACACAGGGATAAAGAATAAAAATGGTGACAAACAAGTACCCATCAATAATAACTTTAAATGTAAATGGATTAAGTGCCCCATTCAAAAGACATAGGGTAACTGAGTGGATAAGAAAACATGACCCATATATCTGCTGTCTACAGGAAACCCATCTCAGAAAGAAAGACGCACATAGACTGAGGATAAAGGGATGTAAAAAGGTTTTTCAGGCGAATGGAAATAAAAAAAAGCTGGGGTAGCCATACTTATATCTGACAAATTAGATCTCAAAATGAAGGACATAAAAAGAGATAAGGAAGGACACTTCATAATACTAAAGGGAGCAATCCAACAAGAAGAAATAACTCTGGTAAATATATACACACCTAATACA